TGTGCACAGCCTCTGTCTCTACACTTCTCTTTCTTTCTTTCTTTCTTTTGACAGGCAGAGTGGACAGTGAGAGAGAGAGACAGAGAGAGAGAGAGAAAGGTCTTCCTTTTGCCGTTGGTTCACCCTCCAGTGGCCGCCGCGGCCGGCATGCTGCGGCCAGCATGCTGCGGCCAGCGCACCACGCTGATCCGAAGGCAGGAGCCAGGTGCTTCTCCTGGTCTCCCATGGGGTGCAGGGCCCAAGCACTTGGGCCATCCTCCACTGCACTCCCTGGCCATAGCAGAGAGCTGGCCTGGAAGAGGGGCAACCGGGACAGAATCCGGCGCCCTGACCGGGACTAGAACCTGGTGTGCTGGCGCCGCAAGGCGGAGGATTAGCCTATTGAGCCACGGTGCCGACCCTCTACACTTCTCTTTCTTCTCTCCCCCTCTACCTCTCCCGGTGAGTGGAGGTGGTGTAGAATGAGAACAAGCCTGCAACAGAGGGCTTGACATAGTCCAAGTGCTTCCACACGCACTTGTCTTGTTCTAGCGTTTCAAGCAGCTCAACGGTGCAGACAAGCCACATGGCACTGAGGCTCAGCAGTGGGGGAGGCCCAGGGTCTCAGTGCTCAGTAGAGGTAGTGCTGCTCTGCTTCTCCCCGCAGCAGCTCCCAGGACTGGCAGTGGGCACTGCGGGGTTGGTTCCCTGGGTGATCAGGAGGCCCCATCTACTGCCACGTGATCTCCTTCCGCGTCCCCCGGCTACAGTCCTCTTAATCCTTGCTCAGCCTCCCTGGAAGAGGGAATGTGGGAGAGTGAGGCCAGGGCGAGTCCACCCATGAAGTCCGATGAGGGTCCTGCTTCAGCCCCCTGCCACTTCCTCTGCCATGCTGTGCTAGTGGCCTCATTCAGACTCAACCTGCAGGCGAGGGCCTGGGAGACTTAGAGCCATTGTTCCCCAGGTTCACAGAGCGCTGAGGACAGAGACGGCACAGGGAGCAACCTAGGCCAAGTGTGACAGTGAGACTTGTGAGCTACACGGTTGACCTGCTCTGATGGGTTGAAGACAAGTAATTGAGCAGAAAGTCATGCACCTGGAAGATGAAAAGATAAGCTTCCAAAGAGGGGGGCAGGGAAAGGCCGTGTGACGCCCACAGTGAAAATAAACGGGTGCATTACAGAGGAGAGTTTGTGGAGATTTGAAAGAAGGTCGACGTCTCTGTTGAAACATTTCTCACACCCTTCCCTTCCCTCCATTTTCACTGCCACGGTCCTGTGGCTCCTTACCCAGGAGATTGCAAAAGCCTCCCAACTGGTCTCCCTGCTCCCTCCCACCCCCACACGGATCCCAACCCACCTGTTCAGCTGTTTTCCTGAGCGTGCCGCGCTGCAGCCCGGCTGAACTACTCACTCTTCCTGCACCTGTACTTTTCCACCGCCAGCCTTGGCTGGTATGTTCTCTCTCTCTCTTCCCCACCCCAGATCTTCCAGCTCTACGAGTGTAAACCCAACCCCACCCATTCAGACCCACTCCAAATGCCCCCTCCCCTTGTGATGACTTTTCTGATCCTCCCTCTCCCTCCCCCAGAGCCCAGGGGTGACCCCTCATAATGCATAATTGCATGTCCTCTTCTAGGGATTTTGTTGCCATTTACCTGGCAAATCAGCCATTGCTGTGTGTGTCTCTCCTCCTTGCAGTCAGGAGAGGGTTCACTGTCAATTTCATGTCCCCCAGTGTCTTAACTACTATTTAATTATTTAATGAGTTAATAAAGACCTAAATGCAGGACTCCTTGTTAGGACAAGAGACAGAAGAGCTACAGCATCTAGGCTTCAGATAAGGTCAACTTATAAAACCCAAGTTAAACTGATGATGTCGCTTTGAGGCCCATGTGGAGGGGAATGCAAATAAATGCATTCAAAGAAAAGTGGATCAGAAAGAAAAGAGCCTGGCAAGGGAGTACAACCCAGGGGACCAAGAAAATAGGTACGAGGGAGCCTGCGGTGTTTGCTTTATGCTTGGTAACAGAAGTCAACAGAAGCTGGAAGAAGCGTCTCAGGGTGGGACCAAATGAATCATGAAGCTTCCATTTAACCCTTACCTAGCCACAAAGTCTGCCCCCAGCTACAAGCCATTGGGAAGAAAGGGGCCTGGCACATTTGTGGGCACTGAATTTCTTCGTGGTTGGAGTTGACCTTGAAGGCACTAGTTGATCGAGTTCCAAACCCACAGGGTGACATCAAATGTGCCACAGGAGAGCCACGGCATGGGCAAAGGTGGGCCAGGATGAGGGAGGCCCTGAGGAGAACACTTGGGAGGCAGCAGCTTTGAGAATGGGCCCGACTTGTTGCCAAAAGCAGTGAACAGGAGCCCTGTGCCGAGCTGAAGTGAGGAGGTCTGTGGGGAAGGCAAACCTGCCTGGGCCAGGTCCCAGGGTCCTAGAACACCCAGTTAGGCGGCAGTGTTAGCTCTCCTTGCCCGAGTCCACTGGGTGCTGGCTGACCTCGTGTGTGAGGCTGTGTATGTGTGTCTGTCTGTCTGTCTGTGCGTGTCTGCATACAAGTGTGCGGAAAGACAACAAAACTACGAAACAGAGCCCTTCCGAAAAATGGAAAGCAAGTCTCCACGCTTAGGCGGACCTGAGTAGGTGGGCTGCGGGGGCTGAGTCCTCCGGGGAGGAGGGAGGAGGGAGGAGGGAGAGGGAGCCGTACTTAGGCCACTAGTTCTTCCTTGGCTTAGGGAACGTGAAGTCTGTAAAGAACGTTCGGAATGAAGGCCTTTCCATTTCTGGCAGACCCTGTTTATGCATCGCCTCATCTGCATAGGTAAATGGGAGCATTCAGTAGTGCAGGGCGAGGCAGCTGTGGCCATGCAGCTGCACGGAGGGGCCCCCCAACAGCAGCGGCAGCAGCAGCGGTGGGGAGTCCCCAAAGCTGCTCCGGGCCACCAGCACTCGCACTATTTGGGGCTGGGTGCAAGACAAGAGGGATGATCAATGAGACTGTATCAGAGAGGAAAGGTACCCGGGTGCCATTTAGGCTAGCCCCTCTCATTTACACATGGGGAAACGGGAACAAGAGAGGGTCTCGTGCGTAGTCACGGTCAGTGTTGGGACTGGCCTAACACCACGGCTCCTGACTTGAGGGTGGTAGAGTCCTGTCTTCTTGAAAATCAGAGCGGGAAGCTAATAGTAGATGCCAGGGGTGATCCCTGGGTGCCCCACTGGAGATAAGCTGGCCTTCCCTGCCCATAGTTCTCTGCGGCTCAGCTCCTGCCTTTTACTTCACTCATGCTTCAAACTGTCATTCCCCAGAGTCGTGGGAAGTGTGGGAGCCTTGGCTCCTCCCTAAGTAAGACACTCACAATTCGCATGACCTGGGAAAGCTGTTGTTTGTTGTCATTTGTTTAACAGTCTAGTGAAATCCTTTTAAATCCCTTCAATGTTGCTAACGTGGGCAGACAATTTACTGTCATTGATAATTCCTGAAGGAGTTGAATGGTAAAAAAGATGAACATTGAGAAATTTATGCTTGTTCCGCAAATTTTACTTTACGGTTTTAAAAGGATTAAACCCGATTTTCTTTTAGGTTTCTACAGTCGTGAAGCTGCGAGGTAGCTATGCTCTCTTGGGAAAACAGGGCTCAGATGCCAGCTCTGTCATTTCCAAGCCTTTTTTTGTTTGTTTGTTTTGCTCAAATTGACTGATCTCTCTGAGCCTCATCTTTAAAATGGAGACATATCTGACTCTGTTAATTGATTTATTTAAATTCATCTAGCTAGTATTTGATGAGCTCCGGTTTTGTGCCAGGTACTGTACTTGAGACTGAGATGAAATCATTAATGAGACGGTGAAATTCCTCTCCCTCAGAGCTTATAATAGAGATCGAGAGAGTAGCCCGTAGATGCCTGACATGTAGTAGCTGTTTCGTAAGTCACAAAGGTAGAACTCTCACAACACTGGGTCCTGAGGGAACTAGTCTTAGTTGTGACATTACCCAACCGGGAGATCTTGGCACTCTCAGGAATGTTGCCCTTTGGGTAGAAAAAGCTCCTTCCACACAAAAGCTTAGGGTAGGGTCCCTCCTGTGTCTCACTATTATTATAGAGTTTTTACAGAAGAAAACTGCTTTGCTTCTATAAATATCATTAATATAGAGATAAGTCAAGGGCCACTGGTCCTAAACAGAGTTGTTGAGTAGTCCTTGATCTATGCATCAGATTTCAAGATTTAAAACTAAATTTCTAACTGTTCTGCTTATTGTTTGTTTTCTACTTAGTAACTTTTTTTTTCTGGCTATTAGTAAGCAGCTTAGCTGGAAAATGAAAATCTGATGAAATCTGCTGTATCCCTAGATGAATCTGCCTTCGTAGGAAATGGAGGAAGTGACCAGTCATCATGGCAAACGAAATTTCCACCCATTGGTGTCAATCCATCTTCGGGGATTGGTATAATTTCTTTCCAATAAGGATAAGTTGAAGGAAGGTTCAGAATAAGTGGGTTTGGATCTTGGAACCACCACTGGTTAAGTCAGTCCAAGTCAGAGACTCATGGCCAGAAGGGAAAATAAACTACTGTGTTCTGCTTTCTGAAATTTTAAAAGAACTATGGTCCAGACATGTGAGGTCATTGCTCTGTGAGATCCATCAGCTAATTAATGGCAAATACAGTGCATGGACTTCAAATCAATAGTCACAGAATGTGACTAGAACCTAGGTCTCCTAATTTCTGTCCAGTGCTTATTCCATTAGCCCTCTCAAAGCTGAAAATGCCACCTCACAGTCTTCTTTTGGGAATCTGACAGGTCCTCTAAGCAACTGACGGGTAAGTTTGATTTCTGTTCGTAACGGTGACTTCAACAAACTAAGAGCAAGAGCTAGATTTAAATACTTGAAGGGACAGAAAAATGAAGAGTCTTTAGATTTGTTGAATAGGATCTCAAATAAGGAAATAGAACCTAAGTGGATATAAGTGGAGATGGATTTTGTTTAAAACTAAGAAAGACCTTTTTCTCATATAGATCTGTCAAAGTTGGAATGCTGTAGCAATGGAGAGAGGGAGCTCTTCACTATTGGAGGTGACCACGTAGATGCCAGATGCCCATGAGGTGGTAAGTTGGGCTGGGTGGCTTTTAAGATTGCATGCCTCTTTAATAAACCTGAGTGGAATTTATGAGGTCCTGGTATTCAAATAATCCCTTCTTTAACCCCATGCATCTGGGCTACAAGTCAGTTGCCAGCTCTCGTGCCCATTAAGTTTACTATCTACTATGCAAAGTAGTACTTCCTTTTATTTGATCTAAAATTAACTCTTGCAAACGTTAGGTTAAATGGGAGGTTGGGATAGTTCTGTTTTTCTGAGTTTTGCTGATTAAGAACATAATTCCGTGCTATCAAGCACTGTCAGATCCCCTTTCAACCTGCTCTTTCTTGATTGAGGAAACCTAACTGTGTTAAATCCATCTTTATGCCAATGCTTCATGAGATCGGTGACTTGCGTAGTTCATCTCTGTCCTTCTCCCACCTTCCCAGATCCACTCCATGTTTCTTGAAAGTGCATGAATAGAACCGCCAGGTTTTCCTGGAGCCTACACATTGCTTCCATATGAACGTGGGATAATGTCTTTTCTGTTGGGGGCTTCTATGCTCTTCCTGATAAAACCCAACCTTCATATGGGCATCTGAGCTCAAGCAGCGACTGTAACTCAGATTTATCTGAGCATATCTGCATATCTCAGTATCTGCCTGGTGACTGGAAGCAGTGTGAAGTCTCCCTTGTATGATGAGGAAAGCCATACTTAAAACAATTGCTAAAAAGAAGTCCACACAAGCATGCTGCGTGGTACTTAGTATAGAGGTTGGACTCCCCACGTGTTTCCGGAACTGAAATGAAATAAACTTTCCTGCCTTTTCTGACTTGTGACATGCTGGAGTCTATCACTTTCAAAAACAGAGATTGGGTTCTATTTTACCCAAGAGAACTGCTTTGTATTTGCCCAAACTGAGGCTTAGTTGTCATCTTCCTCTGAAATCTTGAGGTCCCTCAGATTTGAAGTTAGGGAACTCCTATGCGAATGCTTTCTCTATGACTTGTTAGCTCCATAGCCTTGGCTCATTAACACCTCAGAGTCCATTTCCTCAACTGTAGCATCAAGATAATAAAAATATTTTAACTGGAAACAGGCTTTGAACCCAAAATGACTCATGATTCAAATCCTGTCTCCATCAATTTCTAGCTTTGTGTTCATGGACAAATTGCTTAACCTTTCTCAGGTTCCTAATAAGCAGGAAGCAAAAATAACATCCTTCTCCCAGAGTCCTTGTGGTAATTCAATGAGATAACTGTGCACAGCATCCGGTATAGTCCCAGGTCACACATAGTGTGGCCTCAACAACAGCTGCTTACCCTCTTCCCCATGTCATGGAGCCATTCCGGTGCTTTGTATCTTTGAGAGAAGTGGGTAGATATTAGGAGTTACTGTTTGTCATGATCTGGCAGCAACCCTCTATAGCTGAAATAGAGGGGATTTGGAGTGCAACCGGGACCAAGTGCTGCAGACTTTGGAAAGACACTCTGCCCTCCCCCCATGCCCAGGCTTGTGTCCCTTGTCTCCACTGGGGATGACTGCCTCCTTTCTTCCAGATTACCTCACAGGCATGCCTTGAGCATCAGAGGACATGCTGATGGTAAAACCATTAATATGACCTGAATGAGGTGCCATGATGGCGAGACATGTGCAATGACATTTGTAAAAATTGGGGTTTCATAACTGCACTTTTTCCATGGCTTTGAGAAAATGTGAAGAGCCAAGTTAGCGTCTTACTGAGTGCAAGACTATGGATTTCTGACTTCTGCAGATCTTTATATTAATATCCTCTATTCAAAAGGTTGCAACAAATACCACCATACTGTTTCCATGATCTTTGTCAAAAACGATACAGTACCATATCGACAGATTCTACATCCAAGCTGCTCTTTGAAGTAAAACTCCAATCACAGATCTCTTAAATCTCTGAAAATTGAAATCTTTGTATTTCAATAGTCCCTTACTTAGACCCTGCTTCTACTCTCTTAAAGAATATTGGTTTGGTAAAATCCTCTCATTATTTCTCCCATGATGGTTTACATTGTTATTTTCCATGATCATACTTTTTCTTATGGATTCTAGATGCGGCAGTGAGATTTGGTTCCCTATGATTCCCAAGTACCCTCCGTATAGATGGCAATTTCATTGGCTATGTGACATTACCTCTGTTTCAGTGACCATTTTTAGTGACAGGTTGTATGTTCTGGACAATGACTCCACAATTTTACCCATGACTTACTCCAGAAATCTGGGGTAAATGCCATCTGGTCCAGGTGGCTTATTTATTTAATTTGCCCATTCCATTTAGTTGCAGGTGGAGGGAGGGCAGTACACAGCATGGAGCCGACTTGAAAGGCAAGTGATTTGAACTCTGGCCCTAAATCTGCTACTTGCTTGCTAGATGAACCTGAGTTGGTCATTTCTGTACAGACACAGGCTCTGTGTCTCCACTGAGACTCGAAGGAATGGGATGAAGTGATCTCCATTGTCCCGCCTATTTTTTTTTTTCAGTTTGTGCTACAAAAATATGTTGTCACTGATAGTTTTTCCTGGCAAGGTCCTTGGTGGGCAAGGCTGAAGGTGACTGAAGCATCTGATAGCACATCTGCTGTTCCTTGCCAGTACTCAGAGGCTCCCACTCAGGTGGACTACAGGGAGAGCGTCCCTGATTAAACACGCTCTGTGGAACTCAGCAACGAACGCAGCCACTTAGACTAGACAAGAACTCAGAGGAGATGATGGGAAATGATTCCTATTGATTTCCTATTAGCCAAATAAATTGCAAAAATACCCGTAAATGAAATTTGGAGTAAAAATAAAAAGGGAGAAGAGACGGCCTTGCTTGGTTCACTGTGCTGACCTTGGCGCTGTCTCTTCATGCAGAAGAAAGGGACTTGAACTAGACAGACTGCTAAGTCCTATCCGATGGCACTCACTTGCTGGTGACCTTGGTCATGACTCTTGCCCAACTGGGGCCTTTATGTCCTTTACCCGTTCATGAGCGTTGTGGGGGGCAGGTTTCTTCAAGTGTGATGAGTATGTGAATCAGCTGGAGATCTCGTCAAATCGCAGATTCTGATTCGGGAAGGCTGGCGCAAGGCTGCTGTTCTATTGGACTGCTGCTTCTGTTGGTTCTTCCCTCACAGAGAAGCCGGAGCTTGGGTGCTGTGAGCACTGCGAGCCGCAGGCAGTGCGCACTCTAAGGTGAGACGCCGAGTGCGTGGCCCACGGGCCCTGTGAAAACCCCCTCTTGCTTTAGAGAGGTCAAAAAGGACTTCCTAAACCTGGGTTGAAGCCAGAGGGAAGGTGGGGATGAGGGGCCGTTGGCTGTGAAGTCTGAGATGGATCAAAGAGGTGTTAATGCTTGACAGAGAGAAGGGAAGTGAGGCAGAAAGCATGCGTGAGGCAGGGAGGAAAGTCAGGGAACAGCCATCCATGGAAGCCCCAAGCGAGGTGCTAGAAGTCTTCACACAGGAAGACTTAGCGCTAGCTCGGCAGAGATGCGTGATTGCGCCTGCGTTTTATCGATGTTGTCCCAGGTGCCCTCCCGGGGGGTCAGCGGGCCTCTCCCAGCCATGAGGGGGACCAAGAGGGAGAAACAGACTTCAGGGCAAGAGCTCTGAGAGCGAGGGAGTCCTGCAGGGGGCCCCCCGCCGAGGGGCTGGAGCCGGCCGTCCGGCATGTGTCCACTTCCGCCTAGGCAGAGCGTGCCCAGGCTCTGCCCCGTTCCCCCTGGAGCCGCCAGGGCAGCGAGGCGGGGGGAAGGAAAGTGTCTCAGCACAACCTCAGTTTCACTTCCTGCCTCAAAGCCAGAGAGGCATTATATAAATACCGACCTCAGCAGCTGCTGCTCTCACCCCTCTTCTCGCTATTACTCCCGCGCCCAGCTCCCCGGCGGCCGCCTGCAGCCTCTCACTTTCCCCTGGCCCACAGCACTTGCACCAGGCCCACCAGGTGGGTGCCTGGGGCAGAAATGAATCACAACCTCTCTCTGGCCCTCCAGCCAGCCATGCCCAGCAGCCCTCGCCTCGCTGAGCAGGGGAGGTCGTCCTGATTGGTGGCCCACGTTAATCAAATGACGCCTGCTTCGCAGACGTGACAGGCGGTCGGTCCGTGTGCCGAGGCCGCGGAGTGCAGCGTCAGCGCTCGCGCTGCCGGAGAGAGGGCATGTTCACACGTGTGTGTGTGTGTGTGTGTGTGTGTGTTGTAGGCCATGGTGTGCGCTGAGATCTCCTGAACCCTCAGACGTGCTTTTAGTCATGAAGCAATGTGGTGGGCGTATAAGAGTGGGACTGATGTGGTGTCCAAGTCTCCACTCTACTGTGAGTGGGTAAAACCCTCCACCCATCTTCAACCATAAGGAACTCCCCTTGGAACACTGGTTCATCCGCGTTGGCTTATCTCTGAAGATGCTATTGCAGAATAAGCAAACAAAAAACCAGGCGTGTCCCGTGATCTCTGATCCTTAATATCTTCATCTTTAAATTAATGACCTGAAGCCTGCTTCTCCTCTCAAAGCATTGCAAGGAAGACATGAGGTGCTCACCAAGCATGGTGCTCCACACATCACAAGGTGTGCGTGTTGGGGTGTGTGTGTGTGTGTGTGTGTGTGCACGCATGCATATACACCTACGAGCTTAGCAAACGGTCCGTTGCTATTCCAAGCCATCATAATTACCTACATCGTATCATAGTCACCTTAGAACAGCAAAGCTCAGGCAGACACTGGGAAATTGGCCTTAGTGGGCCCTTAAAACAGCCAGTGGAAAGCCAGGTCTGGACTCTCAGCAGCTAGGTATGACTCAACAAATCAAATGTTGGCTCAATATTGTGCTCATTCTCCCACTTGATCTACTTACAACCTGAGTAGATATGTGATTTAGGACCAAATGACAAAAACGGATTACTGAGTGGTTTGCTGCATGTACACACACACACACACACATACAGAAACACACTTTGGATAAGAAAGACTACAAAAGGATGGATGTTCACTAAAATGTTAATGTTGATCTCTGGATGGTAGCATTGGGGAGTTTCAGTTTCTTTCTTTGTACTTTTTAGATTCATCCAAATTGGATACGATTAGCATCAGAGAACTCATGGCCTCAGTGAACCTGCAGGTGAGATGGCGTTCACTCTGCCTTTTCTCTACACACTTATGTCAGGAAAGCTAAAGCAGGTCCTTGGGGTCTGGCATGGACTTTTTACAGAGTTACAGATTTTTAAAACTTAAGTTTCCTAAGAGTGATCTAGGATTAATCTTTTATTCATTCACCTATGCCACCATCTTTCATTCACTTGGGTTGGTTATGCAATGTAGAGAAAGAGCATAAATTGGTTATCCGAAGATCCATGTTCAAGTTCTGCTACCATTTTTAGGGCTTTTAGCTGCTGAGCAGAATAGGGCTCTCTGATCTCTAAAATTAGGCTCGGGGTGGGCCTAATGTGCTCTTTGGGCACAGAGGCGATTTCTGCGAAGTGCAAGACACTGAGCTGGCAGTGTGAGAAAGATACGTAAGTCACAGACAGCCTGCATTCTTGGGAAACATACACTTGACTGGCTTCCTGCTGAGTCCAGCGCTATGGGCCACAGAGAATCCCTTAACAGGAATTCAGTCTAGGCCACTGACATGCCGAGTGACTTGAATCACTCTCTTTCCCCCATTGGCTGTCAGTTTTCTGTCTCATAAAGGAATTATTATGATTGGTGATTTCCAAGGCTTGGACATTTTATGGAAATGGACTAGAATCAGGACAAATTTGAAATATGTTAAAATATTCATGACGAGGGGCCAGTGTTGTGGCACTGGTTCAGGTGCAGCTGTGACACTGCCATCCCCTATCAGAGAGTGCCAGTTCCAGTCTCAGCCGCTCCTCTTCTAATTCAGTTTCCTGCCAGTGCACCTGGAAAGGCAGCAGAAGCTGGCCCAAGCACTTAGGCCTCCGCCACCCATTTAGGAAATCTGTCTCTTGGTTTTTGCCTGGCCTAGACCTGGCTCTTGCAGTCATTTGGAAAGTGAACCAATGGATGGAAAATCTCTTTCTCTCTGTTCCTCTGCCTTTCAAATAAATAATTTTTTTAAAAAAAGAGATATCTTCGTGATCCATTATGTCTTATGTATTGGTTTCTGTTTGTGCAGCAAGGACACTTTGGACAGCACTGGCTTCCCAGGGCAGCAGTTCCCTGATCTGTCAGTGCTGGCCTTTGGGTGAACCCTCTGCTTCCTGTCTTGGCTCTGCTGTGTCAGGAGGCAGGGAGGGAATCTCTTCTACACGACTAGGGATCCACTAGTGAGTCGTGAACAAATATGAAGGCATTAAATATTTGCCATGCCTTTGGGTCACGGTTTTTAACTGTTTCTCAAACTGTGTTATGAGTCGTAAGGGGCGAGGCAGAGAGCGAGCAGTGGGAGCTTGGGGAATCTAGAGGGCAGGTCTAGTGCCAGCTCTGCTAGGCATTGGCCAAGGGATGTTCATTTGTTCAAGAAGCACTTATGGAGCAACTGCTGCACTCCACTGCGTTAGATATTTTAAAAAAAATCAGATGAGCAAGAAATAGTTTACTGGGTTGCATGCTTCTTGAAAGTAAGTTCTGGTTTCTCCAGTGTCCGACCAGGACTCTGCCCAAAAGGGCAGTTAGTGGGGTCTGTGGGCAGGTAATATCTCTCCCCAGGACTCAGTGTTTTCCTCTGCAAAATGGACTTGGAGGATTGGATTAAATGATCTTGCAGATCCCTTCCTACGCAGGTGTTTTGTTCTAGTGTTACCTGGCGTCCTGCAGCGAGAAAGGTTTGCATACAGGGAGAGAGCAAAGGTCACAGAACAATCTGCAGCAGAGGTGAAATGAAACCGCAAAGCCTCCAGGGAGTACATGAACCAGTAAATCCCCTCACCAGAGCTGGCTGTGAGAGGAAGCCTGGTCCAGAAATGCAAATAGCCTGCCCAGGCCCAGCAGGAACAATAGTACTGGCACTGGGTGTTGGGGGGCTCCTAGGGGGCCCTTCAGGCAGGGATGAGGTTCATCTGGGGACACACTGGACAGGCCGCAGTTGTCCCACTGGCCCGGAGTGAAGGCAGTGTGTTGTAGCTACTCACACCCTGAGTGGGCACCAAGATCTCTGGGCTCTTGTCACTGTCCCCTCCCCCTGCTTCACCTGTGCCACAAGAACTCTCTGGGGATATGGACACCTTCCCTGCACTCATCATGATGACTGAGTGTGAGAATGCATATGAAAGGTCTTCATAAACTGTAAAGTGCTTTCTAAGTGGAAATTGGACTGAATATTCGTGAAGGAGGGAGATAGAAAGGGGCACCTTCAAGAACAAAGAGGTGTCACCCAAGCCGATAGCTGTGTGCCCAGCACAGAAGGAAATGTGTCATAAAAAGGAACTCACATAAGCCTCGTGACAAATGGTAGGGGCTACTGTGATTCCCCTTCCACAAAAGGAAACGGGATTCAGGACTTTGAAGGAACTCCATCGAGGTCACTCCGTAGTCAGTGGCAAAGCTGGGAGTCCCACCACGTCATCTGACCATAGAGTCTGTGCCCTTAATCGATCCGCTCTTTGGCCTCCCTGCATGGGAACAAATGTTCCTGAATCCCGTTTAATTCCTGCCAGTAAGCATGGCCTAAGTACTGGAACAGGCACGTGGGGCGTGATGATGAAGATTGTGGCCCTGAGCTCAAGGAGGTTAAGAAACGAAGGAAAAACTCCAAGAAAGAAGGCAGAGATACTGCCGAGAGAGAGGCTGGTTCTGGAACAGTGTAAGAAAGGTGGAGACGGCAGGGAGGCTGTCTGGGAGCCTCTGCTGCATTGCACAGAGGAGAAACCACAGCATGGTTCCTGTGGAGCCGAAACCGTGGCTGAAGTGATGGGCTGCAGCCCAGAGGTAGAACCTGGGAAGGGGTTTGGGCAGATGGGGAGCACATCGAAGTGGAGTTTTCAGAGACTTAAAGTAAGAGAAGAGAAGAAAGGCCACACTGCTACCAGGATGCTGAAGGTGAAGACCCATCAGTTCACTAAGTTTTCAAGTTGGAGCCTCAACTGGAAGGAGGGGGATGAAATTTCTGAGATGTGGTATGTCATTAATCCTCAAAATAATGATGAACGGAGCGGTAGTCCCAGCACACGGGGTTGGAGGGAACCTCGGGGGTGACCCCACCACATGCCTGCCTGTTGAGGTGGTGGCTCAGCTCCTGAGAGCTTCTATTGTCATGGGGAACTCTTGACCCAGTGAAGAAGCCCATGATCCCTGGATAACTCCTAATGCTCCACTAAGCTTTGGTATGCTTTCTTTTCGTTGTCCCTGATTTAAATACAAGTGTTCAATTCTTGTTTTATGCAAATCTAAGAACATGTGTTTCTCCGTATCACCACACTGGTAACCTCCACGGGCTCCAAACCACTGTTCCTAATGGTCAACAAGGGAACTTTGTAGGCATCAGAAGGTCTTGGATTGGAGAGACGGAAGGTTTGGAGTCCAGACAAGCACCCACAGGAAGGAGAGACTTAGCTGGGTTAGAAGGAAGTCTAGCCAGGTGGGTGGCACCTGCTGTTCAGCAGTAGGAGATGTGAAGCTGCTACTGTAACTGTGCTCTGACCAGCTGAGCCCAAGAATAGGGCTTCGGTAATAACTTTGTTAGTCAAAAAGGAAAGGAAACAAAAGAAAGAAAGAAGGAAGGAGTAACCAAAATCAGCTCTCATTCCTATTAAACATCCTTTACTTCTTTTAAACGGATAATTGGGGAACCTCCCAAATCACTCCTACAACTGATACCCAGGTGGAGGAGACATGAGCTCCTTTGTCTCTGAGGAGCTCACACACTGAGAGGAGAGGTAAAGGGGTAAGAAACACATATTGAGTTTGAGAAAGACTCCAAATCCGGGCAGCTCAGTCTTCTCAGAGCGTGCAGACTCTAGGTTTAGCCCTGGGGAGCAGCTGACATCAGAGAGGTATCTGAACCTGTGAACTTTTGGCTTAAAAGTAAGAGTTCAGTTCTCCCCAAGTTCTTGCTGGTGCTGCAGGGTTGGCCCAGGCCGGCTGCTGCACCCTGCATACAACCGGAAGCCCCTAGTGGGGTTTGCATCTATCTGGCCAAGGTGCCTTCCCCAACGCCACCTCCAGATGTTCCGTGGGGGTTTGAGGTGGGGAGGAGGAGTTAACCGGGTTTAGTGTCTCTTGGCAGGGCTGAGTTTGTGCACCCACATGCACGAGAGAGCTGGGGGTGGGAGTGTCCCCGCCTGCCTCTGTACATGTGGGCCGACAGCTACTGGTCGCCTTAGCCAGAGGGAAAATGCGCTGTAATCACAAGATAGAGGTTTCCCCATCTTTGCTTTGAGAAAGTTCGGAAGCCTTTTCTTTCTCAGCAAACTGCCACGCTTTTCCCCACATCAGTAAAAATTCAATGACTTTTACAAATCTGCCTGCCTGCTTTTTAATAAGCAGGGCTGTGCATTGATGGTACATGTGCAAGGTCTGACCTTTTCATAGGAAAAAACATTCATAACCAAAGCCTATATATAGAAGCTGCAGACTGGAGCAGATAAAGATGTCGGTCATATGACTTTTGTGTGTGTGAGGCATAGCGCTAAAGGGGTGCAGCAGACAACTCAAAACTCATGAAATACAGCCCCTGGTCTGGGTCTTCCTAGTATTTACTGAACCCTTAAATACTGGTTTTGTTATCAACTGGCAATCATAATGATCCCTTCTCTCTGAACATGGGATTTGTTTCCCCACAAGGAAAATTTACTTACTTTAAATGTGCATTTCACTATTTAGTTTATTCTTTAAAATTTTTGTATTTACTTATTTATTTTCATTTTATTTGAAAGGCAGAGAGAGACAGAAAAGAGGCAGAGAAACAGATGGGCAGAGAGAGATCTTCTATCTGCTGGTTCATTCCCCAAATATGTACAACAGCCAAGCCTGGACCAGATGGAAGTAAGGAGCCCAGAAGTCAAACCGGGTGTCCCATGTTGGTGACAAGGCCCCAAGCAAAGTACTTGGGCCTGTAATTGTTGCCTCTCAGAGTGTGCATTAGCAGGAAGCTGGATCAGAAGCAGAGTAGTCAGGACTCAAACTAAGTGCTCTCATAGGCAATGTCCCAATCAGCATTCTCATTGCTGTGCTGCACATTACCCCTCCAGTTAACTCTTAACTATTCCTGTTAAAGCAAAGAACTGGTACTATCAAAATTTCCTCAGTGAAGCCGGTGCCGCGGCTCACTAGGCTAATCCTCAGCCTAGCGGCATCGGCACACCGGGTTCTAGTCCCGGTTGGGGCGCCGGATTCTGTCCCGGTTGCCCCTCTTCCAGGCCAGCTCTCTGCTGTGGCCCGGGAGTGCAGTGGAGGATGGCCCAGGTGCTTGGGCCCTGCACCCCATGGGAGACCAGGAAAAGCACCTGGCTCCTGGCTCCTGCCATCGGATCAGCGCGGTGTGCCGGCCGCGGCGGCCATTGGAGGGTGAACCAACGGCAAAGGAAGACCTTTCTCTCTGTCTCTCTCTCTCACTGTATACTCTGCCTGTCAAAAAAAAAAAAATAAAAAAATAAAAAAATAAAAAAAATTTCCTCAGTGAACAACTTTCAAAAATGGTATAAGTAATCAAAAATATGTTTTGCGACACGTAGAGGAATACAATCCCCCAGGCTCCTCATTCCCTAAGTGAACAGAAACCAAATTCTGCAGTGTTGAAGGCTAACGAGATCTGGAAGCTGCCTGCTTTCTGACACTGTCTTCAGCACCCTGTTCCACCCTGTCACACCCTTGTTCCACCAGATCTTACAGTGTCTGTGCCTCTGTGCTCCTTTGTCTTTGCTTCCCTCACTCTCTCTTCTCGGGGTGCCCTAATTCTGGGTATTTCTGAACTTCCAAGTCTATTCTGAAATGAAGACTCAAACACAATGCCCTCCATAAACCCTCCCTTCTCCACCTTTCCAACCACGTTGTTTCTTATGAGCAGACCATAGTTTGCTCTGGGTTGTCTAACTGGTGTCCATGTCCCATTTCCCAGTCGGCTAGACCATGATCTGTTTGAGGGCAGGAAAAAAGTCATGTTTGAGCCACTTTGTACTCTCATGTGGCATACTAATGGAGACTGTGTACCTTTGGAGATATGTATGAAGTGCAAGTCTCCAAAACTGTTTATTAAGTTCATGAATTTAGCTCTGGAAGGCACTACAGTGATTTGTTGGGAATTTATTATGTATAGCTACTGTGCTACAAAGTACCTCATTCAATCACCATGAATACATCCACAAGATTATCATTGCCACCTTCAACAGCTCAAAGAACTAAAGCTCAAAGAAATTCAAAACCTCACTCAATGTCACATAATGAACAGAACAGGAGGCCAGGATTCAATCCCAGATCTATCTGGCCTGAGGGTGTTCCAATTTATAAACACTGATGGTTACATTTTCTGGGATTTTCATAACTGGTTGGAATAAAAATGAAATCATATAACATTCAATAAAACAAATTATGTGAGAAACCAACATAATAAATAAACAATACTCAATACTTCCTGTTAACTTTATAACATTTTATTACTAAAAACGCTCTTGAGGTTATTTATGTATCTTATAGCTGTATATCAGAGAGAGTATTTAATGGTGTGGTGCTATCTTTTCCAAATTCCACATTTAGCAATGATGTGTTGGTAGCTTGAAACTGACCATGGTAGGAGTATTTACGTGAAAATTATGAGCCAAGTTATGAGAGCTGGTTGTTGTTAATATTTATTTATGAGCGCACCACTGGCCTGGCCCCAAAGCCAGACCATACTTCAGTGAATTTTAGGATTTGGGCCCAAGACACACACACATTTCTTCCATTTCAGATTTAAACTTCACCCAGAAGGACCCAATTTTGTACCAGCACAGATAAACTTCCTACTAATAGAAAATTGACCTTTAAAAGGTTCTTTTGGGCTTCAGGGTCAGAATGAAATTAATTCCTAGTAGTTATTTTATGCCTATGCTGTACCCATATATGATGAACTTCTACCACAAGTCTAATTATACTCTTCATCATGTCCTATACACAGAAATATATGATGTAAGTCTGCTAGTGGAAAATTCCAAATGTGAATATAAATGCATTTCTCCAAATTTACATTGATACAGTAACCCACTGTTTTATCTACCTGTCCTCAGAACCTGTGCTTCACATGCATAACTTCCACCCTGTATCTTCTGTGTGGTCTCAGGAAATGAGACTTAATTTTTGAATGAGGTGATAGTATCAGTACTAGTTCTTAAATTCAAAGCAGGAGAGTTCACATTGCTAGGGCCTCAGTTTTCTCATCTGTCTAATGGGGATTTTGACCCAGATTTCCTTTATGCTGGCTCTATCTCCAAAGGAAACCACATATCACTTCACTTCTTGGGGACTTTGCTTCTGTATCTGTAAACAATGGGCAGGTGAGCCAGACTGTTTCTGAAACCCTTTACTGCTCTCCCAGCTTACAGATCTACCAGAAAAGCCATGTTTTCAACGCAATGTGTCATTCCTATTACATAGCACCATACTCCAACTCCAGAAAATTGCCAGGTAACATGCTGAGCACTGTGAATACTGATGCTTACAGAGGACTTGGAGCATCTTTCTAGTTAGGAGCTCCAACCATTGCAAGGCCAGCTTTCTGTAGACCTCAAAGTAGAGGGAACAGCTTGGTCCCACATTGGTCAGGGGAGCATCTGTACTTTTTTTTTTGTAGACAACCAGGAGGACTAAAGAAGGAATGGTGAACCATGCATGCAGGATTCTAATTTGATATCCTAGTTGGGTCTACAGTGTGGACAGGAAGACATATGACAGATGATATTTCCAACTGGACTGGGAAGACAGTGGATGATGGTAGTAACTAAGGTAAATGTTATTGCAGGAGCCTTTGGAGCCATTCTCATAGTAGACAGAGTGTAGAAGCTCAGATATGACATCTCTCTCCTTACCCTTGACTTACTGCTTGACCCTGAACTTAGAGCTCACTTGCATATTTAGGGAAAAATCAGAAATTGTTCTTAACTCCTCATTTACATCCTCAGCCTCATCATCATCCACTCAACCATTTGTGACTTCCAGGTTGGAAAGCACCATGACATCCATACCCAGAAAATGATTCTGGAAAACAGGTATGATCATTACTTGCATTTTTCAGAGGAAGAATTGGAGGTTCCAAAATGGAATTGAAGTAACTCGTTCAAGATCACCAAGGTTTAGAGCCAAAATTAGAACTGAGCTCACTATTTCGACTCTAACATTGCTGCAGTTTTCCTGCCCCAAAGACTTTTACCAGATGAGGTCAAGACTGCTAGCTGAGATGGGAAGTTTCAGAGCTGCTACTCACATGAGAGCTTACAGAAGCACTCTAGAGAAAGAAGGAATGGACAAACCTATCCTCAATGAATCCTAGAAGTGGAAGAGATCCTACACATTCTCTGACCCAGTCCGTTCAATTTTCAGAAAGGAGAAATAGTATCATACGTCCAAAATCATGCCAGAGCCAAAACTACTTTTGATACTGCCTTCACCTGTTACACATTGCCGTCTGCTCAGGCACTATTTACTTTTATCCACTTTCCCCCAGCAGCAACACTAAGGAATCATAACTACTTAAATATCCTTTACTGATGTGAGCATCAGTCAAGATCCCTTCTTCCCACATGGGAGTACTTGGGTCTGAGTTCCAGCTCTGCTCCCAATTCCAGCTTCCTGATACTGCACATGCTGGAAGGTGGCAATGGGGGTTCAAGTAGTTGGCTTCCTGCCACCCATGTGGGAGACTTGGACTGGGTTCCCAGATCCTGGCTTTGGCATGGCCAGCCCCCTGTCATTGTGGGCATTTGGGGAGTGGATCAGTGCATGGGGGTACATTCTCTCTCTGCCTCTCAAATAAATACATAAAGAAGACCCTTGACCATCACTGTAAGGACAATGTAACATTTTCCACCAGCATGGGCATGGACTAAAGAACCCTGGGTGGAGGAAGGCCTGCAAGCTTGACTCTCAGCTGTCGTTTTGCATTTAATCTACTCCATGCCAGCAATTGGATTTATTGCTGGTGAGAACAGTGACTCATGCTCTTCTGACGCCAACTAACTAATTTATCCTGCCATGTCTTTGTAGGCACAAACGTTTAGTATGTGATCAAAAATAGAGACCCCCTGTCATCCAGTACCTTAGGATTGGTCTTGTCCAAGTCCAAGGATTTACACAAACCCAAGGCAAACTTTTATCCCAAATATAACCAGATAAGATTTATTTTAGGAATCACTGATTTATAGCCCAGTCATGAAGGCTTGCAAAATATAATAGGGAAAGAAGTCTCATTTGGGATTTACCTGTTGGGTCCATTCCCACTTCTTTTATTAAATTGATCTGTTACGCTTAGTGACTCATTTTCTCTCTCTGTGCCACATTAGCCACATCTGCGAAATGAGAAGGCTAAAGTAGGTGACCTTTGGGAATTATCTATTTTGATCGACTCCTTACAAGACAACGCCTTTATCAGAGACATCTTGCTACATCTCAGTTTTTCTGTATGGTCTTGCTATTCTTTAGAGATGGGATTTGGCATGCATCCTCGTAGGGTTCTTCTGTATTTCTAAAGGGATAGAGAACTCCTTGAAGGCTGAGATATATATCAACTTAACTGGCATGAACTTAATTTTAGGATTGGCAATGGAGAGTACATTAAACTTCAAAATTTGACATAACTTTAAGCTTTTTCTCTCTCTCATTACGATATCCCTTTTAAAGCCTTTTTTCCAGGCTAGATGGACAGGCCATACGCTGTAACTATCAAGAGGTGAAGATGAATCTAGGGAAAAAGACCACAGCACTGAAGCAAGTGGGACATTTTAAAAGTCACAGGTAATTGTGTCGAAATTGACCTAGCAGAGAACTTGGGTATGAAATATGGGTCTGTTCATTCATTTATTCTATTGATATTTCCTAAGTGTTACCCCAGGCCAGCACTGTTACGCTGGGGGAAACACAGATGAACTCCACACTACCTTGGAGTCTTGCAGTGGTGATTTGACAGACAAACGTCTTATTGTCACTTAAGGCAGAGGCCTCAGTGCCGGGAGAAAGTTCTGGGCTGTTCAGAGGAAAGTGAGACTCCGTCTCACTGAAGATGCTTCTGAAGGAAGCTGCATCTTGAGTTTTGAGCATGGCCAATCAGACAGGACTTCTATTCAGTGTTAATGATGAATAGACTGGGGGATATACTTCTCTATGATTCCATGTTTTCAGCTGTAAAATGGAATAATGAGAGTATCAGGCTTATGGACTTTTTGTGAGTAACATGTGAGTTCAGATGACTAAAGCTTTGAGAAAGTTCCTAGGACATTGTAAGTGCTTGAAAACATTAGCTGTTACTTTTATGCTAACTTCTGAGTAAATGACCCAAAAGTTCCCTGCAATCACAAAAGAATGACCCATGGAGGAAGCCCTGTTCTCGCAGAGTTCTTCTACATGGTACAGCAAAGCTGCTTGTGTCTTCACAGGCACTCATGCTGGGTAGTTCACGAACAGTGTCCTTGCTCTCGCCTTCTCCCCCACCGTCACACCCATGCACACACACACACACAGACACGCACCCAGTTTCTCCTGTAGACGCTGGATTGTTTATCAAAAGCCCCAGGTGTAGGAGTGTTTCAAATGATTTTTGGAAACGAAAATGATTTCAGAGATGTCAGGCATGAAGAATGTGGGTGTAAAGTACAAACAATAGGCAAGTTCATATCGAAATCTTTACATTTAGAAGAGATAGGTTTTCCTTTTTGTTGTTTTTTTTTTTTTTTTCCAAAAGCATCATCATTTATGTGGTTTGAGAATGATCTTTCCTCTGGAAATTAGACAGCACAACACAGAACACAGAGATGCAGCTGATTAAGTGTGAGGGCCCTGTGTCTTTTGAGCACAGCTCCGTCCTCCTTCAGGCATGGAAGCCTACAAGAATGAATTTGCTTTGAGTCATATATTTTACATAAACCAAAGAGGTTACCCCTAAGATGAACTGTCTGGCTTATTGTTCCCCACCCCCATGGCTTCCCACATACCATCACAGGAAGGCGTTAGCAGTTTCAGGACCCAAACTTTCTCTCAACAATTTCTTTACTTAAACCAAACAGGGTTGCTACATTTAAAAATAATTATCACTGCGCTGGGTGTAATGAGTAGTTATGGGCCTGTTGTCCTTTTGAATGTAAAGATAATGAGACAATATTTCTCGCACAGATGGAAAACAGTGGGGGAAGGTTTGATCTCTTGGACCCACTTGTTTTTTTGTCTGTCTGTTCGGTTTGGAAATAAGGACAACCAGTCACCAAAGTTTCGCCAGGACCAGGGTTCCCAGAAATGATCAAGTTTACCCCAAATCTATTTCACTTTATAGGCAGAAAAACAGAGGCCCAGAGACAGAAAGGTCACACACGGGTTAGAACCCAGAACTTCTGAATCACAGTCCAGGATTCCAACAATAGAACAAAAGATTAAAACTCTAACCCATAATCATGGTCTCAGAAACACCAGGGTACTCACAAAATAATCAAAGTATAATGACATGATGCAATAATACCTGACCCGAAAGGACTGTTAGGGGGACAAATAAGACAATGGATTTAGGTAAAATGTGCAGGCAGGGACTACATGGCTGATGAAGCCTGCAGGACATGCGCCTCCTCAAGTCAAGGGAAAAGTGAGAAGGATTTTCTTCTTGCAAACAAAGTAGAATTCCTAAGGCCATTCTCAGTGACTGCTTATTTGCCTTCTTCTAGCCTGACATTTCCATTGCATAATTCGGTAGTAAGACGATTCATGTCATTCTGGAGCTAAAGATAATTTGTCTCAGTCTGTCATACAGCTATCAACCAAGAACAAGAGGTGGCTGAGGTCAGCAGTAGAAACACTACATTTTTTTTCTGTAACGTTTGTTGATCTAAACCCAGGGCAGGAAGTCTTAACTCTGAGTGGAGGATCCCCAATTAAAGAAGCAAGTGGTCTCTCTGGCAACACAAAGACTTGCCCTTAGAGCAAGGGAGATTGGAAGAGCAGGCTGGAGGTGAGGTCAGGAGGAAGCAATACTTGGCGTAAGAAGTCCACCTGCTGCTCATGGGACTCGTCAGATAAGGATTTAAGATGAGCAGGGTCACCTGTCAGCTTGGGGAAGAAACACTTCATGCATGTGGAAACGGGACCAGGCTTGTTTGAAGCCATGCAGGGGAGGAAGCTGGCAAGGGACAGAGTCTAGTTAAGAACTTTCGAATGATCTTGGCTGGTAAAACACGGAGCCAGGCTGGTCCTTGAGAGAGTGAGCAGCTCATTGCAGAAGGTATGCTACAGGGGCTGGGGAAGTGGTGTGAACGCAGAAGCGTCAAGTGAGAGGGTTTGCAGATGGAGAAAATGCCTCCTTTGGTTTGCCACACCACAGAGTCTCTCTGAGCATCTGAAATTCCTCTCCTAAGAGGAAGGATGCTGGAAGAATCACGGGAGACAAAATGACAAGAGGCAGAATGAAAAACTCACTTCTCTTCTCCCATGGTAGGAGAGGGATACAATTCTGCACTCTGGGAAATGAACGGGCAGTGAATTTCCAAGTCACTCAAAGGTGTCGTCTCTAGTCCTGTGTTCAGACAACATGTGGAAGGCCTTACTTTTAGATAGATGGTGGGGATTTTGCAAAAGCAAAAGCTTCTGTGGCAGAAGTGATGTGATCCAGATTGTGTGGCTGGAATCACTCAAAGCTAGGTGGTATCAGGCTTGGAAGACCACGCTGCGTGACTAGCACATGCAGCACTGGGACCTGGCTGAAAGGTGGGGATCTGTGCTGCTGGAGTGGCTGGAACATTGCTCGTGGCGTTTGTGCTGCTGCCCCGAGACACTGATGGGATCCTTGGGGAAGGCCTGTTTATCGAAGTGGGCTCCGTGGAGTTATGATTCTCCGCAATTCAGGCAGTAGGGCCAAATCAGAGAAGTGCCACATAGTTATAGCCTTGCTCTCCTGTAGATTAAATGTGCATGTGACGGCCCTCAGCAGGACTCAGGCACAGCGAAATGCTTCACTTCAAATAGTCCTGCTTTCCTCTAACTTACTTGTTCACGGAAACCATTTTTACCTAACACTGCTACCTCCCTGGGAACTCCTGGTGCACGATGAGTGTCCTGAGCAGCACTGATGGATGCAGCACACAGACCCGCAGAAGGTTAGAACTGAGAGCAGCAGGCTCCCTTGGGCTTGGCTCTTCTGCTCTAGCATCCCTTCCCCAGCCCCTGTAGAACACCTTCCGTGATGCAGTGCTCACCCTCTCCAGGGGCAGCCCAGCTCCACGTTAGACCAGCCCAGGCAAGAAAGAAAGCAGGGGCGTGGGAGGGCTGTTCCAAAGTCATGGCCAGCAGCCCTTGACTCTGACTTGAAAGCACCTGAAATTTTAAATAGCAACAAATAACTACGAAATGTTGAACCACAATTTAGGATGTAGCATGTGCTATGGAAGGTTGGATGGCAGTTACAAGAACACCGGACTTGAAATCAGTGGAGCTGGGGGCTCACTGGAGGTCTCTAGATGGCCTTTTCACTAGTACTGCTTGGGTTCGGCTTCCACTTTGATTCCAGTTGGGTCTTCTCTTTTCTAATATGGGGAGGCAAATGCTTGTGTGACTGATCTCACAAGTTCTGGTAAGAATCAAGAGAAAGGATGTGAAAGCAGTTTATAAATGTGAGGAGCCTTCTCCCCCCAGTAGGATGCCATAGCCTCCACTGGGGGGATGTGTCTCTTTTCTGTTTGTGAGACTGGTTGGCATGAATCTGTCCGCAGGTTCCATCTTTCAACCACATCCGTGGGTGAGTGAGGTGATCTGGTACCCGAGTATGGAACGCGCCATTGCCCCTGGAATTACAGGCTAAATCCATGACCTTACCCAGGCACACACAGCTGAGCTGAGCAGCAAGGAAAGGCAGGAGCAGAGGAGCAGGCCCAAGCTCTCCTAATTCAGCAATAGACAAATGCTTTCAAACTCTATATTGTCAGGACTGGAAAGAAAAAAAAGAAGAATCCAACAACAGTAGCACCCAGAAAAAAAGATGGAGCGGGAAGACAGAAGGTCGGAGTTGGTGTAGCCTCTGTATCTTATCTCGGGAATGCTGTTGATGACCTGAGTGTAGTGTGAGATCTTAAGTGAAATGAATTGGTGGTTTCAGTTCCGGATATGGTATGCAAAGAAAAAAAAAAAAGCTGCTCTTTGAAATTCAGTGCTTCCTCGTCTGGGCTTCAGGAAGCCACACGCCTGATGCTGAGCGTGGAAACTGACTCATTTCTAGCTCTTTGCGATGAGCTTCTCCAGCCCTCAGGCTGTGGGCAGGAGCTGGGGCCTAATGGGAAACCAGAATTGGGTCTGGCCAAACCTGGAGAAGGAGAATCAGACACACATCAGCAGATGCACATCTCTGTTAGGGTGGTTGACCTACCAGAAGGTTCTACAGGCAGTGGCCCTTCTAGAGAAACCATCTCTGAAGTTTACTGACTTATGGTTGGCAGGAGGTGGGTGGCCTGAAACGGTGGACGACAAAAGTACAATGCAGTGCTTCCCAATACCATATCAGAGTCCTGTTAAAGCCAGGCAGCTCGCTGGCCTTCCTGGACAACCTGGCTTCAAATGTACAGGACATCATGTTTTCTCACCACTTAGAACTAAGAAGCAGTGGACTCTTCTCCTTGCCTGACCCAACAAGCTATTGGTGTTCTATGTGCTTCTCAGGTGTTAGGAAGCACACAAGGCTGCCATACATTGATTGAAAAGGGAAAAGAAGTTAGAGACCAAATTTTCCCTCATTAAACCGAGGCATGAAACCTTAGGATATTACAGAGCTCAGAGCTTCTAAAAGTGACCATTTCAAGCTTGATCCTTTAGAGCTCAAATCAGTGGTTGCCAGGCTTTCTGCAGACCATATCAACGAGAGAAGGAACCTGTTTAATTCCAATTGACACATTAAAAAAAGGAGCACCTTGTGTGAGGATAATGAGAATGTTGGTTTAAATGAGAAATCAATGAGCGACAAGGTGATGTAGGGAGAAGAAGAAGAAAAAAAAAAGTAACAACTGGAGTCTTGGCTTAGGGCAGAGAATCTGAGCTTACTAACTCCATGACCTCTGGCAGCCACTTAATCTCCCTAAGCCTCACTTTCCTCATTTGCAAAGTGTGAACACTAATTACAAAATGAGATCACATATGTGGAAGTATTTATAAATGGTAAGGGCAATTCAAAGGTTCGTAGTTATCACTCCATATAAGTTTCAAAATATTAATGATTAATTCATGTTAGAAAGGAAGTTTCAGACTTCATCACAGAGCAAGCATTAATCTTCCAATTTTCTTATCTTGAGAGCTTGTATAAAACAGATTAGTCTACATTATTGATTTATTTGTTTTTTTTTTTTTAATATATATATATATATATATTTTTTTTTTTTTTTTTGACAGGCAGAGTGGACAGTGAGAGAGAGAGACAGAGAGAGAAAGGTCTTCCTTTGCCGTTGGTTTACCCTCCAATGGCCGCCGCTGCAGCCGGCGCACCGCGCTGATCCTGGCAGGAGCCAGGAGCCAGGTGCTTTTTCCTGGTCTCCCATGGGGTGCAGGGCCCAAGCACCTGGGCCATCCTCCACTGCACTCCCTGGCCATAGCAGAGAGCTGGCCTGGAAGAGGGGCAACCGGGACAGAATCCGGCGCCCCAACCGGGACTAGAACCCGGTGTGCCGGCGCCGCAAGGTGGAGGATTAGCCTATTGAGCCACGGCGCCGGCTGATTTATTTGTATGCTACTTAGTTCCAAAAAGAATGTGAAGGAACTTATAATGTTAGTCACAGATATGTATAACAAGATCATTAAACCACAGACAAAAGATTATGGCAATGTTTTTGGGGAAAAAATAGGAGACAGAGAAAGAAAATCCAGATTAAGAAAAATTCTAATGATGTCTTCAAGTGATTCTGAGCTTCCCTACAGCTTTGCTAACAAGGAAATTCATTGTCTAGAGCAGCATTCTTCATGCGGGAAAGAAGTGTAGCTACCGATCTGTCCCGGCCCTAAGCTCCACTCGAAATGTGTCCTGTGCATCTTTACTTCGGGATATCAAAAAAATAAAACAGGCAGGATCTTCCAAAGGAGATGCAGCAAAGATACTCTTCCAGTCTAACCACTAGGCGCTATTTGCCTTTGTGAATCAGTGCCTGCCTTCCGAGGACTAAACAAACAGCAAGATGATTAATAGAAGGAGCAGGCTGCCTTCAAAAAACAGGGCAGTGGAAATCAGAATGCTTGCTCCTGGCTGAGGTGTGCCACGGGCTTGGGCATTCAGAGGCAGCCACCAGTCATTAGGGGCGTCAAGTAGGCAAGGCAATATGGGAGACGCCTTGCACAAGGTCACTTGGTGTCTCTGAAACTGACTCTGCATTCGGAGTTCCTTAATATGATTTTTTAGGTCACAGTGTTCTAGGCAAAGCTCCCTGTTGATGTACATCTCTCATGCAAGATTTAGATCACCTCTTTTCGGGCAGAGCTCCATGGAAACACCGCCCATGATTTCTGAAATGGAGTCTGATTGGTTCCCGGTAATGCCCGGCTGGAGTGGAGTGCTGGACACTTGGCAAGCCTGGCACTAGCAGCATCCAGTCCTTGTAGGCTATGATTATGCTAATGTCATAGTAAATTCCTGTTTACCTAAAAGGAGTAGGGAATGGGGTATTCTGAGCAATGGAAAATTCTGGTTCATCTGGTTATCATCCATATCATTTGCTGCTTCTTGGTTTCCAAATAAGTAAATTACAACACACTTTGGTAAACACTAAAAAGATACTGAGCATGATTTAAGCTTTCTTTGATGATTCATATGGTACTTCAGGATCTAATAGTGCATATACCATCATTAAGGTGGCAACTTTGCTTTTTCAAAGATCCTGTTGGAAATGTGTGAAGTTGGGGAGTAGGACTGCATGTGTAGTGGCCTCCAACCAGGCTACTGGCTTTGCTGTTGAGTTAAACCATTTTATCCTTGATGCTATTTTGTTGGCATGGCATATTAGCATGGAGTCTGGTCTGCAGTAAGGTATTATTTTACTATTATCTTTTCTCAAGAACATCAGGAGGAAAAAGCATCTGATTCATTTAACAATTCTGGTGTCTGAACAAATTCAGTTCATAGGGCATCAGTTTGGACAGAATACACTTAATTTTGTTGTTTCTTATGAAAGAAAACGAAGGCCCAGAGAGGGACCGTGCTTGCCTGCAGTCTCATGGCAGTCAAGGGGTAGAGCTGATAGTAGATCGCACGTCTTGATAGCAGATCCCACATCTTCCGGAACAGCTAAGGCCCGGCATTTGCAGTAGAGTGGCTCCTGCCACAGGTGCAGCTTTTCCGAGCAGCAGGACATAGAGACGGAGAAGAGATGGCTCCTTGGCTGTGGGACTCTAGGAACTTCTCAATACTATTTGAAGGTTATCAAAGTCCTCTTCAGTTTAGAAACCATGGCCTTGGCTTTGAAACCATTCCCAGGATAAAGGACTAATGAAGTTCCCAGGATTCAGTCAAAATGAAAATGTCTCAAAAATAGCAAAGAGCCACACAACTCCACTTCTGTGAGAGTAACTTTTTTAAAGTCACCCAGGCAGGTTTAAATTCCAGGTTTCTTTCTTTGCTTGTTTTGCAGCTTGATTCATTCTCTGCCTCGGGTATTTGAAAAGGTAAGTTCGTACTCACTTCACTTCCAAATGAATGTACTGTAATCTCTGCCCAGCGAAGGAAGGGGAAGGAGGAAATGAATGATTTTAATGCAGCTGATTGCATTTTTGAAAGGCAGGACTCCATCTCTATAAAATTACCTTTTCTGTTGGTCAGGAAGTATTCTCTCCTCCGTAGTTACAGATCCTGGCTGGACCATTTTCCTCTTAACCATTCTCTGCACTCTTACTCATGCCTTGATCCAGGGGTCTCGAGAGCCACTGTCTACACACGAGAAACCAGAGGGCTGGATCTCCACCACCTCTGGGGGTGAAGAAGGAATGCTCAGCTGAGTCCCAGGTGTGAAGCACCTGTGTCCACTGGGCTGGCCAGAGCAGCGCCATGATTGCTAACCTGCTACGTCCTATCTTTTCAGTTGCAGGAGGCTTCTTTTCAGAGACATGTCTGTGTATTTCTCTGCGTGGATATGCCCACACTCTTCTACTTTCAGCAAGCACCATATATTGATGATAAATCAATACTCACAGGATCCTCACAGGCAGGGATCATAGAGGGCAGGGGTCTCACCCTCCACGAGGCTCTGCAGAACTATTTCCACTAGTGGTCATCCAGGAAAGGAAGGGAAGTGGCCAGGAAGCAGATCTCTCTTTACGTTCTACCTCACCCCCTCTCCAGAACACCCTGGGACCCCTGGAGCTCTCAGGATGCATTCTCAACCCGGGAGGCTGGCACTCAGGGTCGGACGGCAACTGGTACTGCATAGCTTCTCGTTCAACAAATAGTGAATGCCGTCTCCAACACCTTGGTGACCCCTTCTGTCTCTAATCTTCCAATGCAGATACAAATCTGCCTTCCTTCTCTTACCTCCTCCTCTGCTCACCTTCTGCCATTTCTCTGTCCTTTTAGCCCGCCATATGCTTGTTCAAGCATTCTCTGTCACTGACATGCTCAGTTCTCATGCCCATCTGCTGAGTGCCCTTCTGCCTTTATGAACAGTCCCCCCTTGCCTCTCTCAAACTTCAGCCGCCTGGACTTTCTTGTCTGGGCCCCAAGTGACTTACCTGTGTCACTGTTGGCATGTGACACACATCTCTGTAGAATGCAAGCTCTTTGAGGACAGGGTGTGGCTCGTAGCTGGCATCTGGCTTGAGTGGAATCTCAAGCAAGCCTTCTCCTTGAGGCTGATAGAGATGGATGTTGTTCTCTTCCACTGAAAACCGAGTTAGGGATCATTTCTGCCATGACCTCTGACCTCAGTCCACACAGGTCTGTCTTGAAAATCACACCCATCGTGTGATGGATAAATGAAGAGAGCAGGGGGAGGGGGGTAAGCTGTGTAACATAGCGGCACGTGCACACCTGCCAGGGGCTCGCATGGTGCTGGAAATTTACAGGAATGTATATCTGTGCTGTTGCTGAGCCGGCTCAAAACCTGTTTTGCTGGAGGCTTCTTCCCTTAGCAGGTATGTTGGGATATTGTGAATGTTGCCAACTGGGACAAGAGGACACCCAGGCGGTGCCCAACATTTTTTTCTTTCATTGTGGCCAGCCTGCAAGGTCAGGGCTCCACACTTTTTGCTCTTTAATCATGAACCTGGGACTGCTTTGAATTATCTCAAGTGGCCAAGCTCAGAAGACCCTCTGATTCCAGTGACAGCAGTTTAGAGTTTTAGACTCTGAGATCCTGGAATGGCAATTCAAGAAGTAACCTTTAAAATCACCTCAACTGATCTTTTTCACAGAATCAGATCAAAGTTGCTTTGGTGTTGCAACCAGAGAGATAGACTTTATTCATTCATTTGGCCATTGATTTATCCACCTACCCATTCTTCCACCCAATCAACGATCTCTCTACCAACTTGTTTGCTGAATAGCCACTAACCCCAGCTGCCCAGCCTGTGCTCAATTCTAGATATAGAAACATGAGTACAACATGGCCCTTGCTCTCTAAGAGTTTACTACACATGTGTATAAACACACATACATAATACTTTTGACTCAAAATGTTGTGCCATGATACAAGGATGAACAAAGCATGCCATGAGTGTAGAGAAGGCAGTGATCATCGAGTGAGAAGGGCCTGTTCAAAAACACTGGGGTGCAGCAGTCCAAGAGAGCACTGAGCAGAGAGTAGGACTCCAAGGAGGGCTGTGGTGTGGGATGCAGGATTTGTGCTATGGCTTGGCTGGCAGGGACATGGAAGCCTCTTGTGGAGTTCTCATAGCTGTGCTGTGTGCTTGACCTTTACCTTGGGGATGACAAGGCACTTTTGAAAGTCTTTCAAGGGAGACATGTCGCATTACATTTACATTTTATTAAGACCTCTACAGTGAGAAGAGAGACTGTTACTGAAGGCTAAGGGGGCTGCTTCAATGGTCCTAGAAACAAACATAGGCAGAGTAAGTGTTTAAACATATAGATCAGATCATGTCACCCCCTTGTTTATAACCCTCTATATACTATACTCCCTCCTCCCTACCACCCAGCTAGTCTTCACCACAAATACCTGCTTCGTTTGTATCTGTTTGCATGCCGTTTGACTGTTTCTAGTCCTGCACCACTGGAGCAAGGGTCATGTGTGTCTTCATCACCCATTGGGTATCCAGGCTTAGCATAATGCCTGCAATACAACTGTTGCCCACCAAGTGTTTGCATGACAATCGATGTGATCTTGACTTCAGTAAGTGGCAGTAAAGATGTAGAGGATGTGATCTCTAAGGCAGAAAACCAGATCCCAGAGTCTCCCTTTTCAGATCCACTGTGTACTCAGTGGGTGGCTGGTCTGCATTCAGGAGAGCATGAGGCTGTGTTCTCAACTCCCCGCCTGTCATACCCACAGCTGAGCCTTGCCTTTTCATGACAAGCGACCTTGTTTTTCCTCTTCCCCTCTTCACTCCATGTGTTTCTATGCATCATTGGTCTCTGCAATGCAATATCCCAGGGATCCTCTACTATGTGCTTTGATATTCTAATCTCAAGTCTATTGTCAATTAGTTGTGGGCCTGGGCAATCTCTTTTCTTGGAGATTCAGTTTCCTTAACTATAAAGAGGACCTATTATATTATTGCTTTCCAACTTACATGCTATGAGTCTCCAAGTTCCCTCGCTAGGGATGGATATTTGGAGCAGTTATCAAGATGCCCATGTCCCACACTGGGACTACATGGGTTTGAGTC